TTGGGAAGAAAATACTGTTTCTGATGGCAGGAAATGCAAAATTTTTAAGTTTTTTCTTTTTCTTTTTTAATCCTGGTACAGAATTTTAAGAACTATTAATGAGAGACTGTTTAAGGTCATTAAGTGCACAACACTAATTACCGACTGGCTATTGGTATTGCTTCTTCCCTGGTTCTCTCCAAGGAAAACTCTTAAACTGAACGTTCAGCAGAATAATCCTTAAATATACTTTATAAACAAAACAAGAGCTTTTGTTTACATAATTTTTTGGATTTTACTGTTCCTAATTTTATTCTGAAACTCAGTTTTACCCCAAACCATAATTACCATATTAACTTTGTAATGCACAGTTGTATGCAATTCAGAAAAGTAGTAGTGCACCATCAGGCTCTATTCACCCAGAGCATAGGAAAAACAGGATTGGTCATACCCATTTAAAAACAAATCTATCTCACACAATTTGCCAATGTGTAATCTCAGTCTAAATTCTGACAATGAAATATATGGATATATATCTATATATTTCATCTTGATTTTCAAAAGTAGTCAAAGGGAGTTCTTCACAGCTTAGCTTTGCCTGGCTGAAGCTGAAGATTTTGTAACTTCATAGCCAGACCAATATTTCCAGTGATTTTCAATTTGCCTTGAAAGAAGGCCGATTGAGGATTCATTTTACCAGTCATTAAAGCCAGTATGTTGGAGTCCGCCATTGTGATTGTGCAGTCAGCCTTCTTATCTGAGTTAGGAAGCACTGATCCTTTGCCGGTCTTCACATCTACCACCCAGGTGGCTTCTTTACCCCCAGGGCCATCCTTCACCTTGAAGGCAAAAATACCACCAATTTTCTTCACAAACTGTTCCCCTTCCTCTTCAAGCTTCTTCTCAATCTCCTTAAACACAAGATTTGCCTTAAATCCATCACCTGGAGAGCTGGTTGGAATAGCCTCAATTTGATGAGTTCTAAAAGAACTAGCAGCTTCGGGAAAACCCATCTTGTAGATCGTTACAACCGCAGCTCCTCCAAGGCCCAAATTATGCTGCAGAGCCACCTTTGCACCAGGAACTTGCCTCTTTCCCGATATTTCTGTTATATTTTCATTGTAAACTTTTTTTTTTTTTTTTTGAGACAAAGTCTTGCTCTGTTGCTCCAGCCAGAGTGCAGTGGCATCATTGTAGCTCACTGCAGCCTCAGACTCCTGGGCTCAAGCCATCCTCCTGCCTCAGCCTCTCCAGTAGCTGGGACTATAGGTGCATGCCACCACGCCTGGCTAATTTTTTTATCTTTTTTTTTTATTGTAGAGACAAGGTCTCACTCTTGCTCAGGCTGCTCTTGAACTCCTGAGCTCAAGCGGTCCTCCTGCCTTGGCTTCCCAGAGTGCTAGGATTACAGGTGTGAGCCACTGCACTTGGCCGTAAACTCATCTTTTTAAAAGAACTTTTAATTTTGAAAACATTACAGATTCACAGAAAGTTACAGAAAAAAAGGTATAAGCAGGTACCGTGTCTCCTCACCCAGCCTCCCCTAATGATAGCATGACTATACAGTAGTACCACCTTATCCACAGTTTTACTTTTTGTGGTTTTGGTTACCTGTGATCAGCAGCAGTCTGAAAATATTAGTCTTTTGGTAATGAGAGAAATTAGATTCGTATAGCTTTTAATACAGCATATTGTTGTAATTCTATTTTATTGTTAGTTATTGTTGTTAATCTATTACGGTGCCTAATTTATAAATTAAATTTCTACCTATATATATAGGTATATATGTGTAAGAAAAAACATAGTATATATAGTTTCAGTTCCAGGCATCCACTGGGGGTCTTGGAACCTATTGCCAGTGGGTAAGGGGGGACTACTGTAGTAAGTTACCACAACCAGGGAATTGACATTGGTTCAATCCATAGAGCCTATTCAGATTGCACCAGTTTTATATACATTTATTTGTTTGTGTGTTATGCAATTTTATCACGTGTAGCTTTTTGTAACCACCCCACAATTAAAATCCAGAACTGTGCTATCACCATAAGGCTCTTTTTTGCTACCCCTTTATAGCAATACCCCTCTTCTTCCACCTGCCCCTGCTGTCCACTAATCTGTTTTCCATCTCTATAATTTTTCAAGAATGTTATAAAATGGAATTATATAGTATGTAACCTTTTTAAATTGGTTTTTTTCACTCAGTATATTGTTGAGATCCATCCAAGTTGTTCACTGTATCATTAGTTTCTTCCTTTTTCTTATTGAGTAGTATTTCATGATTTTAATAATGTGCCACAGTTTGTTCACCTGTCAAAAGGACATTTGGATTGTTTCCAGTATTTGGCTATTACAAATAAGGCTATAATGAACATTTGTGTACAGGTTTTTATATGAACATAAGTTTTTATTTTTCTGTGGTATATGCCCAAGAGTGGAAATGCCTGGGTATATGGTAAGTACATGTTTAGTTTTGTAAGAAATTGCTAAATGCTTTTTTAAAGTCTCTGTACCATTTTACATTTCCACTAGATATATATGAGTGATTTGGTTTCTCTGCATCCTTGCCAACATTTTGTGTTATCACTATTTCCTGTTTTGACTCCCTGTTAGGTATATAGTGATATCTCATTATGGTTTTAATTTGTATTTCCCTAATGGCTAGTGATGTTTCATGTGTTTATTTACCATTTATATACCTTCTTCAGTGAAATATCTGTCAATGTCTTTTGCCGAATTTTCTAATCGGATTATTAATTTTTTACTGTTGAATGTGTGTGTGTGTATGTGTGTGTGTATGTGTTTAAAAAAAAATTCACTTGCCCAGGCTGGACTTGAACTCCTAGGCTCAATTGATCATCCTGCCTCAGCTTCCCTGAGTAGCTGTGACTATAGGCATGTGCCAGCATACCTGGCTCCCGCTGATTTTTGAGAATTCTTTATATATTCTAGATACAAGTTCTTTGGCAGATATGTGGTTTATAAATATTTTTTCCTGGTCTTTAGCTTGTCTTTTCATTCTCTTAATACAGGATTTTGCAGAGCAAAAGTTTTTAATTTTGATGAGGTCCAAGTTATTAATTTTTCCCTTTATCGATTGTGTTTTTCTTGTCAAGTATGAAAACCCCTTACCTAGCTATAGGTCCCGAAGGTTTTCTTTTATTTCTTTTTCCTATGCTTTTAAACAAAACATTTTACATTTAAGTTCATCATTCATTTTGTGTTAATTTTTATATTTTTATATCAGGTGAGGTTGAGGTTGAGGTTTTTATTTTATTTTTTTTGTTGTTTTGTTTTGTTTTGCCTTGTTCTGCCTGTAGATGCCTAGCTGCTCCAGCACCATTTGTTGGAAACGAATCACATCCTTTTTTAACTCTATAAAGTGACCTTTTTCTAGTTTAAAGGTTTTTTTTTTTTTTTTTTAATTCAGCTTTTTGGGTATTAGGATCACAACACTTATTTTATCTGCATTTGCTTGGTATACCTTTGCCCATTGTTTTGTTTTCAGTCTTAAAAAACACTTAGATGTTTTAGATGTATCAGTTTACATTACAGAGTTGGGTTTTGTTTCATGATCCAATCTGAAAGTCTTTTTTCTTTTACTCTATAAGTTTAGTCCACTTATATTTATTGATATGAGAGAAATTGATCCAAGTTTTGAAACATAATTTTGTATTTTGCTTTTTATAATTAATAAAAACCTTTTTCTGTGTGGTATGTTAACTTTACGTAGGGCCAATTATTTGTAGATTTATGTGGTTATAAAGATATGTCTTCCTATGTTCCAGGCTAACTAGAATTTTCCTTATGATTCAAGATTTCATGAGTTTGTTTAGCTTTTATCTTTCTCTAGCCAGTGGAGTTAGGCAACTATATTTTTTCATAATACAAAACTTCTTTTCTCCCCCCTTGCCATAGAAACAGGATTCTCTTTATAAATAGTGTATTTCTGAATGATTTCTTTTTAATGTCTGCCTTCTCTCTTTCCTTATTGGAACCAAACTGAGGAATTTCTGCCTGTAGCTGTGCATCTTGTTCTGACTGTTACAAACGTGGGTTTTAGGCTTTATAGTTGGAAAAGTTTACTTTGTTACCTCCTTGTGAGAAATGCAGTTTTCCTTTTCTGCTTCCACTCTTTTGAACTTTCTCCTCTGTGATCTCTGTTGATTTTGAGAGCCCTTGTACATATTTTGCTGGTTGGATTTTAGCTATATCTCAGTTTTACCAGAGGGGAGTTTGCATTTTTGTTTTTGTTTTCTTTGTTGTTTGGATGATTTTTAAGAACAGAAGGGGGAAAATGGAGATTATGCCACTTTTTAAACTAGAAGTTAGTAATAGTATCTTTAATGTCTTCACAAAACAGGTTGCTACATTTTAATAAATTATATTTGATTATTGGGATAGCAAAACCTTTGTGGGGATAACTGGAACATAGATTCCTGAAGTACTTTAGTTCTTTCTCTAAATTTTATTTTAAAAATACAAAAGAATTTAATTTAGCCCTAAAGAATAACAAATTCTGTATGTTCTACCTTTTCAATTCTTGAAGACTTAACACATGGAAATGTGTATTTATTGTTTGATAGCTCATTTTCCCCAGGAGTAGTTCTGATAAAAACCAATAGTTTATTGTCCACAAAAGGAGATTTAGTGAGTTTTATTTTGAAGAGAGTATATTTCAATTGTAGTATTTATACTTTGAAAATTATATGCACTTTTTAAAAAGCATTGACTCACTTAAGAAAATGTACTAATTTCCTATACTACCACTAGTGACCTTTTTCTAGAAAGAAAAAGACTTTCAGACTGTATCGTGAAATAAAACCCAACACTATAATGTAAACTGACACCTTTAAAACTAAGCGTTTTTTAAGGTTGAAAATAAAACAATGGGCAAAGGCAAATAAAATAAGAGTTGTGATCTTAATACCCCAAATGCCGAATTAAAAAAAAAAAAAAGCTTGAAAACTAGAAAAAGCTCACTATACTAATTTCCTACACTAGAATTCTAGCCAGTCTCTGCAATTCCTTCTCTCTTGTCCCCCGTTTTCTTTCTCTGTAGTCTCTCACTAAAACTTCTCTCTCAGCTTACTACTATTTCAGTGGGTTTGCAGTGGAAAAATAGTATAAGCCTTTTCTACTATTCTAGGATCCTTGAAGGTTATGGGTACTATGCTTAACTTTTCTCTCTCCTTACCTCCCTACCCTTGTTAAGGACAATGCTCAGTGTCTTTTTTACTGTGCGGTAATTGTCCAAGTACCATGTAGGAATCTAGTGTTAGGTATTTGGTGTTTTCATATCATAAAAATAAATTATCATGATAAAAAAAACATGTATTATCTATTGCTGTGTAACAAATTATCCCCAGAATTTAGTAGCTTAACACAACAAATGGTTATTATGTCTCACAGCTCCTGAGGGGCAGGAATGTTGGGAGCAGCTTAGCTGGGTAGTTTTGGCTTAAGGTCTTTTGTTCTTATATAATTACAGTTAAGCTATTGGCTGGGGCTACAGTCATCTCAAGCCTTAACTAAATCCATACAGTCACTGCAGATAAAATCCCCATCATAGAATCTTTACTCTTTCTGCTGTTATTCAATCTCTAGTTCATGGCTAGACACTGTTTCTTTTTGCCACCATCAACAATGGCTTTTGCAATCCATCAGACTTTCTTCATTCTGTTCTTATATTCCTTTCACTGTTTCCTTGAGGTCTTTTTCTGTTCATATAGGCTGTTTCTTCCAAGTCAGTATTTGGTGTCATTTTTCTTTGTATAATCCAAGGAATTGTAAATCATGCCAAATCGAATTGTCTTGCCACCACCAAAATGGGTTCCGAATCCAAATAACAAAGATGATATCTGGTGTGGTCTTGTATGTTTTGGCTAATTTTTCCCTAACCTACTTCTAAGGTCACACATGCCACTACTAATAGTAGTTAGCAGGCATCAGTTCTTTGTTGAGTGTTTACCACAGACCTCTGTTCCTCACCAGATGGGCCTTTCCATAGACTTCCCTTACTGTTCCCATGTCATGACAGCTGGCTGCCTTCAGAGCAAGTAATCTGAGAGAGAGAGAGAGAAAGGCAGCAAGTGAAAGAGGAGGCCCGAAATGGAAGCTTCAGTCTTTTATAACTTCATCTTGAAGTGACATACTATGACTTCTGCCATATGCTGTTGGTCACACAGACTAACACTGGTGAGAGAGGACTATACAATGGTATGAATACCAGGAGACAGGGATCACTGGTGACTGCCTTGCAGGTTGAGTCCCCAGAATGGTAATGCCATATTTCAGAGTGAAGAACTAATTTTCATACCTATATTCTGAACTTATATCCTGATATAATGTATTTTTTATAAAATGATGAATAATGTTTGTATACTTATTTCTGCCATGTTGTATGGAGAGAGAGATATTTTGCTATATTTACATTGAATTTAAGAAATGACTTTGACAAGTTTGTGATTAGGATCATTCTTTGAATTTCTTTTAATACTTTTCATATCATTCGATGTTTTAATGCAAGGCCTAAAGAATTATCCTTATAAAATCTTTGGGAGGAAGTATGTAGCTAAGTTTACTTAGCAAGTATTTATTTAAAGGTAAGGTTTTTTGTCCCCCCCCACTCCTCCATAGCTTATTCTTTTGAGTAGAGAAGATCTCTCTAACGTTAAATAACAGGGAAGGAGTAGCAACTTACGTTGGTATAATGCTCTCATGTTTGTAAAAGCGAAATGTGCTTTTCCCTTAATGCATAAAAATAGAAAAGACAAATTTTTGGAGCTGTTGTTTACTTAGTAAGAAGGCGTTCTATAATATTGCTCTCAATCTTTTGGAGGGTTCATAGACTCCCTTCAGATTGATGAAAGCAATCTTCCCTCTAGAGGAATGAACTTACGTACACAAAGACAATTTTATAATTTAAGGGGACCCTCAGAAGGTCATGGATTTGATGTTGAGAACTCCTCTTTTGAAAGCACAGGTAGACTTCTGATGTTTTCTGACAGAAGTATTTTTTGGTTTTTGATATATAAAAGGAAACAATGTACCTAACTCTAACTGGAAATATATAATATATTTGCTTTCATTTTATATGGTTTCTAATTCACTCATCCTAATGATGGTTTTTGTTTCTGAATTTTGCTTCCCCTTTAGCATCTGGAGCATAAGAACAGTACTTATTTTCTTCTTTTCCAAGAGAACAGAAAGAAATAGTAAGTTTAATTTCCAAGTTTTTATAAATATTAAAAAAAACTGTCTTATAGTATGTTGGTTTATAAGGC